CTTTGTCGACGCGCTGTCGACTCGCCGGTACCCGCTTTATTATGTTTTTTCCATCCGTGCTGCTCAATGTAATGGCCGCTTCTACACGGCGTGTGTCACTCCTCCCTCTCTTTCCCCCAGTGCGAATGGGGTTCAGGTTTCTCTACTCTTCCCGCAATGCCTGCGCTCTCCTCTCCCATCCCTCCCTGGCTCCCTTCCTTTCCACAGCCACGCCAGGCACATCCAGCGCAGGAAATTCTTGGTGACAATGGCTGATGTTATTGAGTCTGAGTCTTGGGTTTTGTCGCCCCCGACTGGTTAAAGCGAAGAGGTGCATCATACAGATTAACGCTAATATATTTAATTAAGAAAAAAAGAAACATTAATATGTGCTGGCAGATGCAAGGTGCCGTTTCAAATGCGCATTTTATAATGTGCCAAAGCCCTACATTTTATCAACACTGTTAGATATCTGTGAAGACATTTATAAAATCAGGCAAAAATAAAGGCAGCCCTTTCTCCTCTTTCCACGTCTCACCTACTGTGAGGTAAAAATGTGCTCATATTTTCTTTCACAATCATATCAACTCTGTCACAAAGATTGTAAATAAATTGTTTGGGATTTTAGAAATGTTCCAAGTAGTAACAAATATATATTGACCATATTAGTACACAGGGAAAATAAAATGTCTACTGAATATAATATGCGATTATTTTGTCTATGCCATAAGATTTGCTTGTGATGATAGATGGACCTGAAAATCTGTAGTCTCAATTCATTCATTTATTCTTTGAAGGGAATGCTAAATTTGTAAATGATGATATTTGCTTGTTTTTTTACCTTTTTAAAATTATTTTTAAAAGTACAATATTTTTTGGCTCGCAGTCATTATGGATTATGTCTCAGGCAATTTACTTCAGTGACAGTGGATCAGTTTACTGATTTGTATATAAATAAGATCTCTTTTCTCATCCAGCTCAGAATAAGAGGATAACAGTCTACATTTATAGGATTCACAGTTAGTCTACATTTAAAAGCATTTACAAGCGCTTGATCGATCGGATTGCAATTTGACAAGGTATGCACATTCCTTTTACATTTAAGCACATGAAAGTGTCTCTGCCAAACAGATGCTCTTATGCAATATGCAAACAAAAAGGAGTTCGCTTCTGTGATTAAGGTAGTACACATAAAAGCTATAAACATTACCAAAAAAAAAAAACATGCCATATAATCTTTGAGGCTCCTAAACAAATAAAGGACCAGTATTAAAATACAGTTTTATCTAAATAAATTCAAAATAAAACATTAAAAAAGGAATATTTCACTCAAAAATAAATTTGCTGTACATTTACCCACCCTCAGGCCATCCATGATGAGTTTTGATGAGTTTGTTTCTTCACCGGAGGAGATCTGGAGAAATTTAGCATTATATCACTTGCTCACCAGTGGATGCTCTGCAGTGAATGGGTGCCGTCAGAATGAGAGTCCAAACAGCTGATAAAAACATCACAGTAATCCACACGACTCCGGTCCATCAATTAAAGTCTTGTGTATTGAAATGCTGTGTGTTTGTAATAAATGAATCCATCATTAAGACATTTTTAACTTCAGACCTTTGCTTCTGGTTAAAATACGAGTCTTCTATCCATGATATTGTTTTCTTCAGTGAAAAAGTCATCTTGTTTGAATCAGGAGAGAAATATGCACAGATCAAGCACTGTTTACAAGCAAAAACAGTCCAAAACAGTTCTAAACAATGTTTGTGGACTTGATTATGGATTATGGAGTATTTCGACAGATGGGGTAGTATAAGCGAAGCGACAGTTAAAAAGCATTAATGATGGATTTTTTTCATACAAACACGCAGCTTTGCATTTCACAAGACATTACCTGATGGACTGAAGTCATGTGGATTACTTGGATTATTCTGATTCCTTTCATTTTAAACAAACATCTACATCTTGGATGGCCTGAGAGTGAGTAATTTTCCATTTTGGTTGAACTATTCTTTGTTAAATGCTACAAGCAATTTAATAAAAAAAATGAAAAAATACTCATTTTGAGATTTGCTAAAGATTATGTTTCACAGTGTTATAAAAATTATTTTGTTATCATGTTTTTAAGGATTTACTTAAATTAATCAGTAAATGAAGGCAAAGGTATTGTAAATGTAAAAAGATGTCTCTATGGAGCCCCGTACATGACATGCTGGAAAAAAACATATATTGTGGAATATAATTAGTTCCCTCGATTTAGTAAATTGTGCCTATGTTGTACTAATTCATTAACTCATTCTGATTGAACTAAAACGAGGGAACAAACAACATCTTTTCAATTAAAAAAAGCACACATTTTGTTTCTTTTCTTACTCTGTAGGTGGGCAACAACAATAAACCTTGACGGGAACAATTGTGCCTATGTTGTACTAATTCATTAACTCATTCTGATTGAACTAAAACGAGGGAACAAACAACATCTTTTCAATTAAAAAAGCACACATTTTGTTTCTTTTCTTACTCTGTAGGTGGGCAACAACAATAAACCTTGACGGGAAGCGCTATGAAAGTGTTTTTCCATTGTGACTCTCCCTGTCATACCACATTTAAACTGTGTGAAATTATGGCTTCATCAGCCTCTTATCCACTTTCCTTAATGCGTACTAATTCAGACACCTCTCACAACAGTAAACGGCCACCCAGACTCAAAAGTAGCTGTGATTTAGCCAATTTATTGCCTTTGTACAACAGTTTGGGTTCGAACAGCTTCACCTGCATGCACACATAAAATGAAAGGTGGTCAGAGCTGAGATCTGTGTGCATAGAGTAGTTTGTGTTTGGAAACTCGCTATGTTTTCTAGGCAACTGTCATAACTGTGTTGCAGCATGACATTCCAAGACTGAAGTGCTGTATATCACACACACACACACACACACATACGCCTTCCTTCCAGTTATTCCCTCCATGCTCATTGTCTCTCTAACCTCATCCCTTTAATGTGCCATCATTCCCCTTCCCCTTTAACCTCCTCTTTGACCCTTGTCCTTTTTTTGCCCCTTCTCTTCCCTCATCTATTCTCATCACCTTCTTTTTATTTTCTCTTTGTCCTTTCAATCATTTCTTTAAGCTTCACATAACCACTCTCTCTTTTTTCAATCTCAAATTGAAATTAAAAGTATCTTGCTAAATTTTATCTTACTTCACTATTTGTTTTTCGGGCTTTCACATTTTTGATTCCCTTTCCCTCCTATTTCATAGCCATTGAAACTAAGGGGGACTGGAAAAGCAAACAGGTAACCCATAGCAACAAGCGAATTGAGGGATTCAGGCCGAGTCGCCCATTGAACTGCCTGAAAAAGTAGCAATTTTAACGGATGTAGTCCCTCGACACCTCTGTATCTCCATACTAAGTGTCTGAGATACTACTAAACAATCACTGAAGCAGATCGTTTTAATAGGTCACAATTTCTATTTTTATTGCAAAATAAATTTATTTTCTATAAAATATATTTATATTTAATCTATATTTATTTTCTATTGTTCTTGCTTTGTTATAAAAAGTTCAGATTTTAAAATACTGTTTGATTTTTGTTTTGTTTTTCAAATATGAACGAGCAGTGAAGCAGTTTTGCTCAAATATTTTTTCTCTAAGAAATAATAATAATAACAACATCAACAACAACAATAAAAGACACCTAACTACTCAAAAGTTTGATGTTCAAGAATTTCATTCTTTTAATGAGGCTTTTTATTTGTTATAATATTAGGACAGCTATATCACCCTGATTCATTTCATTTCATATTTTTAATAGTTTACGTCAAATATAAAAATGAATGCATGCTCATCATAGAAAAAGGTGTATTCAAGTCATTGTGTGTATGTATTTGTAATGTATTTTTGGATAAATTAATAGATCCAGAAAAAAAATAACAACAATGATAACTCTAATATAGACGTCAACAATGGTTATTGCTGTCAAGTCTCATCTATTTTAGGCTTACAATTATGCTAAAATTCATAAAGCTTGTACAGTTTCATCCAGCATTCCCCTATAACAACAAACAAGCATCCCAGACCAAAAAAAACGCCCAAATGTTGATGGAACAAACACAGATCATGTCTGACAGAGGCACACAAGCTGGACGCATGGTCGTAAAAATGTGAGGTTAGGATTGGCAGGGAAAACTCTGTAGCGTGACAGTCTGCACAGCATTCCAGATATGCCTTGTATCCATTTTTATAAAGCTAGTAAACAGTGACTAGTGTCTTCTCACACTTTTGATTGCATATACACCCAGTCACAAAAAAAAACCTCTTTCCCTTTAGCCAGTTTTCTATCTGTATTCAACAGCTGTTTAGTTCACCAACACAGACACGGTCTGTCAAGAGTAATGAACCCAGCAGGAAAAGCCAGAGCAACAGCCAGCGTGTCTAAAAAGGGTCTCAAAACAGTTCAGCTCCCAACATTTGGCCTCTCTTCTCCCACACGAGCCAAATCGTAGTTTATTTCACAGAACTTGATCCTCATGCAGCTGCATGTATCAATGCTGAATCCCAGAAAACTAATGTATACAGTATCTAAAAACCACTGCATGTCCTCCTTTCCAACTTTAGTCAACTGCCAGATTGCTTTAAATCAAATCATTGACTCAGGACGCACAAAACAAGGGCCATATGCTCAATAAGTTGGTCTAATTTTTGTATCTGATTTAAGGTGATTTCAATATTGTGCTTGAAGGGATCATTTAAAAAAATGTATATGTGTTTTTGTCCATATAACGCAAGTCAGTGGGGTCCATTGTTGTTTTGGATCCTATTGACTTTCATTACATGGACAAACATGTTGAAACACTCTTCAGAAAATCTTCTTTTGTGTTCCTCAGAAGAAAGAAGGTCAGTTTTGGAACGACATGAGGGTTAGTAAATGGTTTCTTTTCATTTGTGGTTGAACTATCCCTTTAAACACTAAAGAACTCTTCCTGAACACACATTTCTCAGCGTTACAGTTGAATCTCTTACCTGCGACTCGCACAACTGCCCTCTCCGCGGGGTCCAGCACTGAGTCTTGGCTCTTGCGCTTGCGTCTCTCATGTTTGGATAGGTTCCATGGCAGAGTGTCCCCTTTGGGCCCGGCTGTGCTGTGGGCGCAGGGCGAGAGAGAGCCCCCGGACCTCTCGCTGCGGAAAGAACGCTCGCTCACACACGAACGTTCACTCAGGCTCTCCTCGTCCGAGGAAGACATCTCGCCAGGGGGCTGGGAGGAGGGATATGAGGGTAAAAAGGGAAACAGAAATAAGGTCAGGACAGAAACAGAAGCATGTTAGAGACTCTATAATGTGTGAGATATCTAATTCATAACCCACAGGGCAACGTACTACTACTACTATATACCAGAAAACATGAGTACCAAATAAGGCCGAATTTGTGAGAACACATCAGTTGAACACTGCAATAAAATGAAAGTAAAAGAGACGAAGGCAGATGCTTCTGGAGACTAGGTGAACAGCGCTGACTCACTTCAACAATGATGATGAGAAGAAAAAGTGGCACGAGGATCGAACTCTCCTTTCAGTCACAGTACTATTAAAACCAGTCCTGATCAGTATTGGACACTGCATTTGGCTGGGCCAGACCTCTCTGATGTGCATTCCTCTGTGATCAGCTGGAAGGAATGGGGCCCAAGGGGGCTAGAGTAGGTTCCTGTCCGTCACATTATTCCACACCAGCTGAACTCATCAATACAAGTGAGCTCAGTGCAAGCTGTTTGGAGATGTGCTCCCCTGTCCAATCTACTCCTGTCATTCATGAAAGGCTTGCTAGAGGAGCTATGGCTACTCTGAGATAGTATTTATTTTTTAATGTTAATTTTTTTACTATTAATTTAGTACATTTTATATATATATATGTGTGTGTGTAAAAATATATACAATTGCAACTTTATTTAGATATTGCCATTGATTCAAATTATTTTATTATTCGCAAAAATTCTTCTTTAGTATCTAAATTAATAACAAAAAAGGGTGTCCAAGATTATGTAAAAATATATCTTTTTTTTTTTTTTTTATTTAGTGTAAAATGCACATCAAATTCTTGTAAATGTTAGCTCTGTATTTGTGTTGGTCTCATATGGATTTTAAAAGCTTTTATACCATTTTCAAGAAATGCTTTGATTTAATAACTCTAGAATGTGGTGGAACCAGGGTCGTTGTCGGGGGGACAATCGAGAATGTTGTCCCAGGCCGTGTGATGAGTGGGTTTTCTATGGTATAGCCTACGAATTAAGCAGGGGGGGGGCACACATATTTATTTTTTCCTAGGGGATGTTTTGGGTGTAACCATAAATATTTTACACAATTTTTCATGATTTTTTTTATATTTAGCCACAACAATGGAAAAAACACTTTTATCAAATATTACTATCTTTTATTTCCTTAACAAAAAGCAAAAAGCAAAATATATTTGATATTTTTTCATGTAGTCATTTTATATTCATGTATAATAAATAAGCCTACAATAAAACATGATAAATTATAGTAAAGGTGGTCATGAGTAGTTTAAAAAGATTTTAATATACAGTATGTTAGTGCTGGTGCAAGATTGTTTTCTCCTCTTTTCATCAGTCTCTTTAGTTTATGTGCTTTTTTAGATAATGTTTGACTTTCTCCTCAGCATTTTAAAGTGGCAATTTCTCAATAGAATTCATATAGATCACACATTTTACCATCAGCTTCGGCATAGGGACGGCTCGCGCAAATCTTATCACACTTTCACAGACAACTGTTGAATGCAATGTGAGCTGCCTTGGATAAAAGTGTCATGTCAAATGCATAAATGTAACATTGTTCTATATGATGTGGCCAGGTCTGTCCTGGAAACAATTTCTATATATCAGAAAGTGAACATTCCATGCATTTAACCAGATATGTTGAGCTCTGTCTTTACTGCTTCTCGAAAGCAGGACTAAGTTGACTAAAACCATGTTGCTGAAGCTAGATCTCTTTGCCATCCCACTGTTGCCTGACAGCATGGTGGTTCAGTGGCAGCCAACAGATATAAATAGAGGCAATGCTGTATTCAAAACCTTGCTATGTTATTATGCCTGAGAAGGAAATGGGAGGAAACTACTGCTCTCTTTTACATTATTTCATCTCTCATTTCTTTCTTACCACCACACTGAGTAAGTTCATGGCAGCTGAATGCACCCAGTGCTCCGATAGACAGCTGTTGTGTTGATTTAAAGTCTCTGTGCAACTGGGTCTGCACTCTCAGAGTACAGAGTCTGGCTTCCCAGAACGTTCGCCAAGCACATCCCAGAACAGCCTTAGTTTTGTAGCACCGCTCCATTTCCCTTCGAGAGAAATTATAAGTTTGTGGAACAGAGGCTGGTGGCATTTGTTCTCTTGCTGTGTTTATATATTGTGTGCAAAGATATGTTCATGTGCATTCACCCATGAGGACAGAAGCATCTGCTATGAGTAACACTGACACTTCACCATAGACACACTCACTCAATAATAACACTTGCTTATCATAGCAATAAATAATGGCTTTGTATTATTCAGAACACTGTGGGCATTTAGGTATTAGTTCTTATGGAAAATGTGACATTTAATCTGGGCGTAATATCATGTGGCCAAGCATTCTGCATGTTTAGAGCAGTTTGTGCCTTTATACTGTATATTAGGGGATCTAAATTGGTTTTGCTTCAGGGCCCATATTTTACATTGGTCTTCAAGTTTGGACCAACAAAAAATCCTTAAAGGGATAGTTCACCCAAAGTTGTTCCAAGTCAACTGTTGTACAGTCAACTGTTGATGACAGAATTTTCATTTTTGGGTGAAATCCTTTACCTAATTCGCTGTCCCCCATCAAAAATGACCAGCCTTTTTAAAACTGCTTGTAAATCTCTCATTATGCTAAATTATCACAAAATCTTGGATTCAATCTTTTTGTCAGCTTGTTTTCTTTCAGCACAGGTTTTATATTTCTTTTTGAAACAGATAGGTCGAAGGCCTCATTGATCTGAACTTATGCACCTTATTTATTTATTTTTAGTAAAAAAAATAAATATATATGTAATTATTTGTTATTTTTGTAGTAATGATAATTTTGGCAATATTCACTCAAAAACTGAGGTGCATAAGTTCAGATTAATAATGCCTATGATCAATCAGTTCCAAAAAGAAATACAAAAACCTGTGCTTGACAAAACAAGTTGATAAAAAGATCAAATCCAATATTTGGTTGTAATATAGCATAAAAAATGTAGTCTAACGCAGAGGTTGTATTATTGTTATCCTATGGTTAGCTGCATTATGTTACTTTCATTTAGCTTCGTTTTCGCCCGCTATCCACAGAAAAGACCTGTGGCCCATTTTTTTGGGTCGCAACCCACCAGTTGAAAACCACTGATCTATTTTTTGCCATGCACCAGAGACAGATTCAGTAAATGTAAAGTGCTAAAATAGACAATCCTGCTTGCAAGGATAGTAGCATTTTTTGATTACTGGATAAAATGTTTGATCGGATCTAATTAGTGCAACAGTCTGTTAAAGAAATCACAAGACATGGCGCAATCACAGACACTATCTGTCCTATTTTTGAGGTTTTGCATGTTAGCCAAAGGGCAGTAGCTACAATAAGCCCCATTTGATCAGATCAAGGATGGATTACGTACCAGGCCAATGGAGCCAGTGCCTGAGGCCTCTAACTGTCAGGAACCTCGAAATGTAAAACTCACACACTGACAATGAAGAAATTAGCGATACTACCAGTACCTCTGAACACATGCAGCTTTAATGTTGTAATTGCAACTTTCTATCTTGCAATTGTGACTTTCTGAAATGAGTAGAATGGTTACACTCACACAGCAGGCAGACATGATGTATGTGCATCTCTACAGGAGCACAGGGCAGGAAACCATCTGTGGATGCTGGTAGAAATAGCCTTTACCCACTCAACCTTCTGTACTTTTACATTTTAGCCCAGGAATGGTTGTGATTGTGTAAACACACCGAGCACAAGCCTTTTGTTCATCTCTGGAAGACATGAATGAATAGCCACCATTTCTGAACGGAAAGACTTTTGCGTAGATCCATAAAAATTTGCTTTGGAAACGCCCCTTCTTTCAACACATACCACTACTACTGCAAAGTGATGGAAAATCCGACTCATTTCGCGGATCGGTTCTTTCGAACAGTTCATTCCAGTGAATCGAATTCAGCTGTGCTTTACGACACGACGTAATTACTGTTCAGTTTTGTGTATTTAGCTCACAAACTGCTTATTTGCATCTAAAGAAAAGATCTGCATGTACAATACTAAAGTTATTATACTAACCACCATAGTTTACATTTAACATTTTGTACGTTTTCCATAAAATGCGATCCGGTTCAACAGAACCACTGAAAAGATCCGACTCCAAAAAATGATTCGTTCACACATCAGACATCGCTGGGTCGTAATGTGGCGGAAACCGAGGAGAGTGACCACAGACAGAGAGAGATGTGCAGAGCCTCTTTGTCCAAACACACTGAAGAACGGACGGTCTATAAAGACCCATTCATGCAGGCGTGAGATGAATAAATCATTACCTTTATTTCTAATTCATTAACGTGAGAAATTAACAGCTCGGCTCGCTCCCTGAAGAGAGAAGCACTTCCGATGCCCGATTATTAATGGAAGTGAGGATGCTTGTAGGAATGATACTTAAGCGTTTAGTATTCAAACGTTAACATTATAACACAAACTAAAAGCTAAGAAAATGGTGACACACATGTATAAAAAACGATAATTATCAGACACATAGCTACACCCCGAAGCTGTCGGATGACGGACATTTGGACCTTGCGGTCTATAAAGACCCATTCATGCAGGCGTGAGTTTAATAAATCATTACCTTTATTTCTAATTCATTAACGTGAGAAATTAACAGCTCGGCTCGCTCCCTGAAGAGAGAAGCACTTCCGATGCCCGATTATTAATGGAAGTGAGGATGCTTGTAGGAACTCTAGGGTTTTTTGAATGATACTTAAGCGTTTAGTATTCAAACGTTAACATTATAACACAAACTAAAAGCTAAGAAAATGGTGACACACATGTATAAAAAAACGATAATTATCAGACACATAGCTACACCCCGAAGCTGTCGACTTGAAATTGCATCATATGACCCCTTTAAACCAGACCCCTTTAAATCAAAAACCAGTTAAGACTATCAACAGGTATCCTCTGTGTTAAATGTGACCAT